ATTAGCGTTGCCGAGCTGGTTAATCTTCAAATAATAAGATACGACAATAAATCATAAACGTTCAAAAGTTTTTTTAAGGAATAAAGAAGCTTGAAATGCTTACCTGTTCTTTTTCGTGACTCTTCTTTGAGTGAGCTCAGCTCAGCTCAGCTGTGATTGGACGGGCTGACGTCACGGGACTGACTAGATAACGGGCGCGGTTTTTGAATCTTTTTAGGAAACACACTAAAAATATATATTTTGCCATAAGTAAAAGTTATTACATAAAAAAGGCTTTATATGAAAGACGTATGTACACTGAAAAAAAATGATTAAAAAAATGTTTTAAGGTATGTTGAAACAATTTATTTTAGCTACATTTAAATAAAAAATGTTGAAAATTAGTCAACTAAATTTGTTTATTTAAATGTAGCTAAAATAAATCGATTGCAACCACTTTCCTTAAAAAAATTTAGTAAATTCAATTAATATTTTCCCCCAGTGAAATATAGTAAATATTAGTAAATATATATAAATATAAAAATAGTAAATATATTTACTATTGTTTACGTTTTATTTGATTAGCTTTTAATTATTTATAATAACCTATAGCCCTATACTCAATACAAACATATTTTCTCCAAAAACATTTAAAAGAAAAAAGTTGTTTCAAGTCTGTTCAACATGATGCAGTCGTGTTTGAATGGGAAACCTGATATAATGGTGTTAAATCAAAAGGAATTGTTTAAATAAAGTGAACAGCATTAAAAAAACATTACTCAGTGAGCAGTGTTCTTTATCATTCCTAATAACACGACTCTTTATAAGAGGATCAGTTCTGTTGTACAGTTAAGTGACGGAACATTCTGTGAAATTATGAGTGTGAGGATGGGGCATCTTCTGCATCCACCACAAACAGATTGTTTTAGCTAAAGAGCTTGCGTGGAGGAACATTTTTTTTTAGAGATGTTCAGCTAAATATATCCTCAACATTTATATAGTGTCTCATAATGTATTTGCTGTCCATCCTCAATCACTCAAGTGTAAATGTGTAATTATTAGGTCTAAAGACAAACTGTATGTCATTCCACTTCCAAACAATATTGAAAGAGACTAAAAACTGATTCCTGGGGAACTACTTCTGCAGCTTTATACAGATATCAATGCCAGTTGTTGTTTTTCAGCTTTATTTCTCCATAAAATTTATAATGATATGTTATAATAATGCAATGATATAATATTAATGCAGAGTGAGTGAACTTCAGTTTTTGGCCATGCAATATAGACAGTGTTTACTTGACTGTACACTTTATAATGTATTTATTTGTGTTATTACTTTCTGAAAACAATGTATGTCCAAGTAATGAAGTGAATTCCAAGCATGAAGAAGTAAACTTAAAATTTACTCAAAAATGTGACTTAAAATACTACAAATATACTACAACTTCAGGTTATTTAATAATGTACTTTGAAAGTATGCTTTCAATGCATTGTTACAATGATCATTTTCAGCACACAGTTAAAAAATATTCATAAAATATATTTAAGTAAAGTGCAAATAAATATACTTATAAAAAATAAACAGAACTTTCAATTCAAGTATATTTTTGTAAAATATATTTTTTAGAAAATATACTAAATTACAATTGTTTTAAAGTGTGTTAAAAGTTGTATTCTGAAAATAGACAAAAGCATGATCTTAATATACTTTATATATATATTTAAAGATAGTACATTTTTTGTTAGTATATTTGCAATGTACTATTATAACAGGTAATATATTACAAATACAATAAAGTATACTTTTGTTTCACTAGGGATACCCTAACCTAAACCCACCCCTCAACACCCTCCAAGTCCCAGCAAGGTCAAAATTTTCTGGTATTACTATCCTTGTGGGGACATTTGGACCCCCCCAATATAGGAAATACCAGGACCACACACACACATTTACAGTATAGGGAAGTGTTAGAATGAGGTTCAGAAGTTTAGGGAGTGCACATTGAGCCTACACAAATACACCTGCATTGAGCCTTACACAAACACCACTGCTTTTTGCCTGCACTTGAGTATTTTTTTATTTGATTTGTTTATAATTTACACATCTTATTTTGCTTGTTTATTTGTTTGTTTTTGTTTGTATTTGACTTTGGTCCATTATGAAATGCGTGTGTTTGTCTTTCATATTTGGAAATGTGGATGCCACTTGAACATACACTAATTTCATCAGCAAACATGAGGCAAAAGCAGCTTCCCAACAAGATATTTGAAGGTTCTCACAAATACTGAAGGCTGGTGTCAGTTTGCTGTCCAACTGAAGCTTCAAAGCAAAATCCGAGTGGCAGAAAATGATGCACTTGATACAGTTGATGCCAAATCTCATTAATATTCACATCTGGTTTTAATCTTGCCATACATCACTGCAGCCATCTCTCAATATTTCAATAATCATTATAGGAGATGAGCTCATCTTGATCTGATAAAAATGATCATTGTTAATGAACAAACAAACAAATAAATAAATAAATCCATGGTGACCTCAGTTGATCTTTTAAATTCCAGATCCTGATCTTGTTAATAACTGGGGGCTCTATCTCTCATTTAAGTTCCGAGAGTATTATGATGTGTTTTTGAGTTCAGGGAGATCATTTAACTCACTCTGAGGACGAACAATGTTGTGTTTACATTGTGTCTCCACTAAGTTCATTAACTCTGACCCTCATGAGGTGAGAGCAGCCTGGGGTTAATTAGAGCAGAAATCATTCACACAGACTAGACAAAAGTTGTCTTAATTTAGAGAGAATTAGGTTGTTCAGGGGAGTCATTAGGTTGTTTTTGAGCCTGTTTTCCCTTAGGATTACAGTTTCTTTATACAGTATGTATACAGTTGTCCATTTACAAGGAGACAGCTGCATTTTGTTCTAAACTTTACATTTCTAAGTCCAAACAATGGTCATTCTGTTAACTGTTTGTCTGACCAGTGGCAGGTTGGAAACATTGATTCAACTGGAGAAGCTGTGTCAACACAAAATTGAATGAAAATGAAAATTCTATCATCATTTACTCACCCTCTATTTGTTCCAAACCTATGAGTTTCTTTCCTCTGCTGAATACAAGAGAAGATATTTTGAAGAATGTTGGTAGCCAGTAGATGGTATCCATTGACTTCCATAGTATGAAAAAACTTTAAGCAAAGTATACTTTGGTTTTTTGGGGGGGATTTTGCGTACACAAGGGTCGACATACAGTGCATGTGATGCAAATATTGCCGCCAGAATAGTACACCCACTACCAAGTCATGTCAAGTTACCTTTATTCCTATAACGGATTGTTTCAAAGCAGTAATAACAAACTCATATTCAGCTGTAAAGCAGCTCTAACAAGCCAAGAGTGTCATAATACAGCTCAAGTTAGTTCAGTGCTGAATCAGTCCAGTTCATCAGTTGTGCATACAGATTTACATACTGTATATACAGTGTATTTTGCACACATGTGAGGGCTATGACAAACTCCACTGCACATTAAACAAGCAAACGACACAAGATAGTACTGTTTTACGTTTGTAGTTTGGTGTATATATAGCTAATCATTTGATGTTTGTGTGTGCTAGAGTTACTATGCAAAAAAACATTTTTATAAGCATTAAAATAATTCTGAAAGAAGTGTTTGCTTTTGCAAGTGATTCGTAATGTTTTATATGTTGTGCACGTTTTGTAGTTTTGTGTGTAGAGTTTAGAGAAAAGCAGCCACAGTCTCAGAAATCGTGTGTAAGCAATTAAAAAAAACTGCAAATGACTCCAAAATTACAGCAACAGCTTAATATCTCTAAAAAGAAAGAATTGTAGGATGGATTCCAATTTAACACCTCAGTCAATCAAGTTCTGTCATTTGTATTCACACTTCATTGAAATGCAGTGTTATTGTAAGTCATTCTCTTTTCTCTCCCCTATCACTTGCACATCTGGCATCTCCTACAAAAAGCATGCAGGATTTGTCCTATATTTTATAATGCTAGTTATTTTATTTATATGGTAGTTATTTTATTTCATTTCCCTTTCAATTTCTGACCGTTTCTCGCAGGTATTTGTTTTTTCACCCACTAAAAGCAAAGCACGCTGCAAGGAAGCTGGGTCGTAAAAAAAGGACGGCCATGCAAAATGGCAGCAACTCCATCATTCAGCCTGCAGGATTTTACATTGATGCATTGAGTTCAATGCCTTACAGTAATATCTATGTCATGTTCCTCACTGTGCTTTATGTGATCACAATTATATTCAATGTCTTTCTGATCTCCATCATTTTCTATGACCACTGTCTGCATGTCCCAAAGTTCATGGCCGTTGGTAATCTGGCTTTGGTTGATCTTTTTCTCGGCACCTCTCTTATGCCTAGCATGATCAAGACTTGCATTGTTCTAGACAATTTTGTGCCATTCAAACTGTGCCTTGTGCAAATGTACACTTATTATACTTTTTTATTCCTTGAACCATTTTCCTTATGTATTCTCGCTTATGGCAGGTTCATTGCGATCTGTTTCCCTTTAAGACAAGAGTCTATAAACACAAACACCAGAATGACTTCTATAATCCGTGCTGTTTGGTTCTTTTGATAATTGTTATAGCTCTCTATGCTGTTACATCCATCCCAACCCTGTCCTTTTGTGGCTCTCTTGAGGTCCACAGCTATTTTTGCGATTACGCTCCTGTTTTAGTACTCGCTTGTAGTGATATGCGTCACGTGTATGTTCCCATTTAGTTCCTGTTTGTCCTTATTTGGTCCTTCCTGTTCCTGTCCCCATTTAGTTCCATTTGTTCCAGGTGTTCCTAGTTATTAGTTATCCTCCTCACCTGTCTGCCCGCCCCTCATTATCTGCCCTATTTGAGTTCTAGCCCGTTCTGTTCTCCCTTGTCTGGAGTTGTTGATGTCAACCCTTGCTACGTGTGTTCTCCTGTTTCCTTGGATGTTATTAAAGACTGAATTTGACTCTGCGTCTCCTCGTTCCTCGCTCCATGCTCCTCACAGTAGCGAGCCGTGACAGAAATCCAGACCTAATGTAAACTACTCAGAAATTACACCAACAGCTCGATATCTATATTATTGAAAGAAAGAAAGCAATATGTTTCAGGATTGTTGTTGGAATTATGCTATTATGTGTATGGTTTGTTAGGATCAGACAATATTTGGCTGAGATAAAACTATTTGAAAATCTGGAATCTGAGGGTCATCAGAAGCATTTTCACATCACATGTGAAAATGCCTTTAACGCTGTTAAAATGCCTTAAACGCCTTAGTTGTTCAAAAGAAGTTCTTAGCAATATTACTAATCAAAAATTAAGTTTTGATATATTTACAGTAGGAAATTTACAAAATATCTTCATGGAACATGATCTTTACTTAATATAATGATTTTTGGCTCAAAAGAAAAATCTATAATTTTGACCCATACAATGTATTGTTGCCTATTGCTACAAATACATCCGTGCTACTTATGACTGGTTTTGTGCTTCAGGGTCACATATATCTTCTGAATCATGCAGGATTGTCCTATATTCTATAGAATTTTAAAGTTAAATATGTATACGGTTACATATGCAATGCCAATGCCATAAAATAAAGCAGTGGGTTGTTTCTAGAGTTTAAAGCTTTTCTCTTTAAAATTTGAAGTTTTTTAGTTATATGATTTTGCCATTTTTTCATAATGCCACCTTTGCACCTCCCTCTGGGCGTTTTTATTGTTGTTACAAAAATGAACAAAAATAAACAGACTAATTAGTGACACTTAAAGCGATTAGTTACACCATGATTAATCTCACACTGATTAAGTAAAAAGTGCTAATGAATGTCTTTTCTCTAAAGACTATTTAGAAGCAGAGATTCTTTCCAGTTTAATGACACCTCTGGAGGAAAAATTGGCCAATATATTGCCCAAAATGTTCCCAAGTTCACAATCAGGATTCACAGTGATTCAGAACTGTGAAGCAGAAACAAAAACTGTGGTTTGTTATTCACAAACGCTTTCATGTATGTGTTAATGATCATTTATACAATAACTGTAATATGTTAAATGTAGATTTTCACTGGTATATTTCTGGTAGATTATCATAAGGGCTTATGACCTCAAATAACACAGGTGTTAAAGGTGATTTGTAAAGCACAGGCTGTTTGTGACTGTTTCTCGCAGGTATTTGGTTTCTCGCCCACTAAAAGCAAAGCACGCTGCAAGGAAGCTGGGTCGTAAAAAAAGGACGGCCATGCAAAACGGCAACAACTCCATTATTCAGCCTGCAGGATTTTACATTGTTGCATTGAGTTCAATGCCTTACAGTAATATCTATGTCATGTTCCTCACTGTGCTTTATGTGATCACAGTCATATGCAATGTCTTTCTGATTTCCATCATTTTCTATGACCACCGTCTTCATGTCCCAAAGTTCATGGCCGTTGGTAATCTGGCTTTGGTTGATATTGTTCTCAGCACCTCTCTTGTGCCTGGCATGATCAAGACTTACATTGTTCTAGACAATTTTGTGCCATTCAAACTGTGCCTTGTGCAAATGTACACTTACTATACTTTTTTATCCCTCGAACCATTTTCCTTATGTATTCTCTCTTATGACAGGTTCGTTGCAATCTGTCTCCCTTTAAGACAGGACTCTATTAACACAAACACCAGAATGACTTATATAATCAGTGCAGTTTGGTTGTTTTGTTTTGTTATAGCTCTCTATGCTGTTACATCCATCCCAACCCTGTCCTTTTGTGGCTCTCTTGAGGTCCACAGCTATTTTTGCGATTATGCTCCTGTTTTAGTACTTGCTTGTGGTGACACGACAACCCAGTGGAATTTTGTCACTGCATTAACTATACTCTTTATTACTGTACCTTTGATTTTCATTTTTTTGACCTACATGGGTATACTGACTGCTGTATTCAGAATGAAAAGTAATCAGAGCCGTTTTAAGGCGCTGGCCACGTGCACAGAGCACCTCATATTAGTGGCCCTTTTCTTCATTCCTATTGTAATCATCTTCTGTTTTACATTTTTTGGAATTATTTGGAACCCAAGTGTAGGTCTGGTGAGCTTGTCTTTGTCATCCCTCATCACACCCTGTGTGAATCCCATCCTCTACTCACTGAAAACTAAAGAGATTCGAAGCAGGATTCATTCATTGTTAACCCAGAGACTGTCTGTTCATCCTCTAAAAACTTCAAAAAATTAATGTACAACATAACTGTGGTTCAAGTGTAATGTGCTGAGATTATTTATAATGTTAACTTGGAGGCTTTCTGTGATGCTTCAATATTACATGTGACAAAATTATTTTGTGTTCATATTATTGTTTTTCAATAAAATCTCCAAATCTACATTTGCTCTGCAGTTATCTTGTAAATACTAACATTTTCTAATAAGGTCTAAGCTGGTCATCAGCTGGGTGACCAGTTACCATTAAAAAACTAATAGGCCTAATAAAAAATAAATAATGTCTTTAAAGCCAGCTACCATGTACACCGTTAACAAGCTGTAACAGAGGTTTCCAACAGAAATGGCCATTCTCTGAGGCAAAACACAAATAATAAAAATTGAATATAAAATGAGTATTTGTCTGAATAATAAAGTTAATAAATACTCCTTAAGAGCACAATCTAATATAAAAACATAAGTATGATGTAGAAAAGACTAAATTCACCATAGAAACACAGTGGCTTTGGAAATACAAGCACTTCAGTCCATTGCTATTGTGTTTTATAACACTGCAATCTGGTTGTGGCTAGAAGGGATACAGCTAAAACAGCAAGCTAACAATAAATTTAATTTTCTACCTATTAGATTGTGTTTTATTAACGTCTACACCTACCCCAACCATAAACCTACCCCATACAATAATGCAAAAATAGTAATTATTGTTGTACAGTGTGACAAAAATTACGCTGCCTGTATTGATGTGCGCATGCCCAGTAGCACCGTATGTATCCCTTCTAGCCTTAACCCTGCAATCTAATGGGTGACAGTTGTAACTACACTTGCCTTTTTACTTTTTATCATGCGTTTCCTGTCCATGAGAATGAAATGACATGGCTAGACAAGTTCTTACAGCTTCATAAACTGCAAATGTAGGTTTATTGTAATACTAAAAATAGTAGTTTTGCTAAAGACTCAAGCGTGAAGAAAAAAAAACTTTTATTTGGGATTTGGACACACACACACACACACTGGGTTTTCATGTTTTATGGGGACATTCCATAGACGTAATGATGTTTATACTGTACAAACTGTATTTTCTATCTACCTACTCCTCACCAAAATCTTTTTCAAAAAAGATCATTCTGTATGACTTATAAGCTTGTTTCCTCATGGGGACTAAAAAAATGTCCCCGCAAAGTCAAAATTTTCTGATACTACTATCCTTGTGGGGACATTTGGACCCCATAATATAGGAAATACCAGGACCACACACACAATTATATAGGAAATTGTCAGACTGAGGTTTAGAAGTTTAAGGAGTGCACAACCACCTACCAGAACACTCACAAAAAGCAGCTTCTGAAGCAATTAAACCACTGTAAAGGTGTATTGTTTTTTTCAATGATGTATTTACTTTTCCCTGTCCTTCATGCAATCATTCATTTAATTTCATCACTTGAAGCTATATAATAATAATAATAATAATACAAATGATTTATAGAACTTATTCATGAAATTAAATTCATGACAATAATGCACAATATTTCACACACTAATATTCAGAAATAGTCAGCATACTGTGTAGTATGCTAGTATTTCATTCCAAATACACCTGCATTGAGCCTTACACAAACACCACTGCTTTTTTGCCAGCACTTGAGTATTTATTAGATTTGTTTATACTTTATGCATCTCCTTTTTGCTTGTTTATTTGTTTGGTTTTGTAAATTATTACTTTGGTCTATTATGAAATGCAAGTGTTTGTCTTGACACGAGGCAAAAGCAGCTTCCCAACAAGATATTTGAAAGTTTTCACATACTGAAGGCTGTTGTCAGTTTGCTGTCTAACTGAAGCTTCAAAGCAAAATCCAGGTGGCAGACGATGATGCACTTGATACATTTAGTGCAAAATCTGATTAATATTCATATCTGATTTTAATCTCGCCATACATCGCTGCATCCATCTCTTAATATTTTAATAATCGTTAGGCCTATAGGAGATGAGCTCATCTTGATCTGATGAAAATAATCACTGTGAATGAACAAATAAAAACTAAATCTATGGTGACCTCAGTTGACCTCTTAAATTCCAGATCCTCTTCCTGTTAATGACTGGGGCCTCTCACTCCCATTTAAGTTCTGAGAGTGTAATTTGAGTTTGGGAAGATCAGTTAACTCGCTCTGAGGACGAACAATGTCGTGTTTGCATTGTGTCTCCTCTAAGGTCCATTGGATCCTACACAGTAGGTGTCCAATAATATGTCTGCGTTTTATTCTAAATTTTACATTTCTAAGTCCAAACAATGGTATTTCAGTTAATGGTTTGTCTGACCAGTGGCAGATTGGAAGCATTAGCTCATCTTGCAAAAGCTTTGTCAACTCAAAATTGAGGCATTTGGTGAATCCAAGAGCCTCTGGTCAGCCCAAATCACTTATACAGTGGAAACTGAAATGAATGAAGTCCTGATTATGTGTTATCAAAGCTAATTAAAGGGATAGTTCACCTAAAAATGAAAATTGTGTCATAATTTATTCACCCTCTATTTGTTCCAAACCTATATTAGTTTCTTTCCTCTGTTGAATACAAGAGACAATATTTTGAAGAATGCTTGTAACCAAACAGTTGACAGTAACCATTGCCATTCTTAAAAAAATAATAATAATTAAAAAATTACTTGGGATTTGGACACTTAATTATTATTTATTGCAATTGTATCCAGTCTCTCTCTCCCACTAACACATACATGCACACACATTCCATAGGCATAATGGTTTTTATACTGCACAAACTGCATATTATATTGCCCTACACCAACCCTACACCTAAACCTACCCCTTACAGAAAACATTCTGCATTTTTTGGAGATTTTGTCAGGTTTAGCTCACTTTTGGGTACACATTTGTCCCCAAAATATATTGTTAAGTAGGTACACACACACACACACACACACACACACACACTTATTTCAGACTAAGGTTCAGAAATTTCACTCCCAAAGAGCAGTTCCTGAAGCAAAGGACTAAACCCTTTAACATCTACTTTGGGATTGATTTTTTTGATTGTGCTCGCAGAAATTAAAATGTTTGCAAATCTGTAAACAATCAATGTATTTATTATGTTAGGAAAATCTGGACACAGTAGCAAGCCTTATAACTAGCTAGTGAACAGTACTTTCCCTGTGCATCATGGCTAATAGAAACTATGTTCTTTGATAACAGTGCATCATTAATGTACAATAAGGAACACGCACTTACTTTTGAAGTACATGCTGTGTGGCATATAGTATCTATTTCATTCCAAATATTGAGCCTTACACAAACGGCACTTTTTTTCTTTCTTTTTTTTTCTTTTGTTTTTTTCCTACATTTAGGTATTTTTATTTGATTGTTTTTTATACATTATACATCACATTTTGCTCATTATGTATTAAATATGTCTAGGTCTGTTTTTGTGAATTATTACTTTGGCCTATTACGTGTGTTGAATGTGGAAATGTGGATGCCACTTAAACAAACACCAATTTCATCAGCAATCGTGGGGCAAAAGCAGATATAAACAAAATATATTTGAAGGTTTTCACTGATATTGAAGCCGGTTGTTAGTTTGCTGTCTACCTGGAGCTTCTATCAAAGCAAAGTCCAGGTGGCAGACGATGATGCAATTAATACATTTGATGGAACATCTCATTAATATTCACATCTGATTTTAATCTCGCAATACATTGCTGCAGCCATCTCTCAATATTTCCATAATCATCATAAGAGATGAGCTCATCTCCAGCTGATGAAAATGATGTTTGTTAATGAACAAATAAATACCAAATTTAGCATGACCTCAGTAAACCCTTTAAATTCCAGATCCTACAAACGAAATAAATCTTCTTGTTAATGATCGGGGGCTTTGTCTCTCTCTTTTTTTTTTTCTTTTTTATGTAAGTTCTGAAAGTATTATGAAGTGTTTTTGACTTTGGGAAGATCACTTAACTTGCTCAGGGGATGAACATTGTTGTGTTTACATTGCGTCTCTTCTAAGGTCATTAAACCTGACCCTCATGAGATGAGAGCAGCCTGGGGCTAATTAGAGCAGAAATCATTCACACAGACTAGACTTGATTTGTTTGTGTCTCAGAACTGCTTTAATAAGACAGACAAATTATTCACTTTGTCAGTGATATCTTAATTCACCTATTTGCACTTCTTTTCCCTTGTATGAAAATCAGTAGTCACAATGTTTAAACTGTTCGCTGGTTGATTTGTTTAGAAAGTCAACCTAATACATGCTACTTAAGACAACAATCAATAATAAATCATAAATATGAAATATGTAGAAAAATATCTCGACTGAATTCACTAGAGGTCGTGGCTTTAGCAAATAAGCGCTTCCGCCTATTGCAATTGTCTGATACAACACCACCATCTAGTGAGTGACAAGTGTAATTACATCCACTGTCACCCTTACGGCAATGAATGGACTCGGACTCTTAAAAATGTTACACATTTCCTGTTCGTGATATGAAATGTTCCCGACTAGACAAGTTATGAAACCTTCCTGAAGCTCTTGAAATCTTAAACTGCAAAGGCAAGTTTATTTAAATATCAAACCTTTAAGAGTTGCGCTACACAGGCTCGAGCGTGAAAGGCAATCGAATACATACCAGCGGTTTGTTTTTTTTACAGCTTTTTACTTGTATTGTTTTTAGATACTAACGTCATGTATTGTAACACATTTCAAATTATAATTTAAAGTATAAGGATGACATCGACTCCTCCATCCCCTCACAACCGGAGCAGGAGTGAGGATGAGGATGATCCAGTGGATGGGATGATCTCCAGGACAGGCTGTGCTGAGCTGCACTATGCTCTGCAGGACTGTATGGCTGAGCATCAGGACTGGAGGAAGTGTCAGACTGAGGTTCAGAAGTTTAAGGAGTGCATGACCACCAACCAGAACACTCGCAAAGAGCAGCTCCTGAAGCAGAGGACTTCCGCCACATAATCTGCTTGATGCAGAGGCCTCTGAGACAGTGCTGCTCAATAAAACATCCATAATATTTACTTAACAAAAGGCATAGTCAAGAGTTTCTGTCAAGCACAGAAATGTCATGAAAATTTTTCATGTATGTTTAATGTAAATATGTATTGGACAATCAGAATAAAAAAGGCAAACAGAAGCGTTTTCTTTAGTCTCAGACTTTGTACATGTTAATAAAAAAATGAACTCATAATTTGAAAAAAAAAACTGAAATATATTACTTTTATCACAATATCATAATTAATTGAATATGGGTTTGCTGAACATTCATAAAATACATTTCACTGGGTTCTTGCTCTTAGGTTTTAGAGAAGTTTGCCCTACTTGCACTCTATATGCTATATCCGCATAAACAGAAGATATATTTTATATTATATTTATAGGATGTATGGAATCCTTACATAACATTTCATTTAGCACTAAAATTAAATAATTGTAAAGGTTAAGTAATTTATTATAAACAATTAAGAGAATTAAGTATGCGAGCAGACCATTTTTAAAAGTTTTTTTTTCAGCATTTATATTTATTCCTCCCCTTTTATATAATCATGAATTTAATCTCGTTACATAAAGCTACAGTACTGTATGTTTTCAAGAGTTTAAGATCGCCATGATCTATTTTATTCATGGTATTTGCTGGAGCTTGGCAGCGTTAACAACCGTCCATTTTTGGTTTCAGTGAAAAAGGCAAATGTTTTTATTTGAGCACTGTGTTAAAATTCGAATCAAACCTGAGAAATTATTTCACACATCAGTCCAGCTAATCCTGTTCAACTGGACCTTTCTAAAATTACCAATTAAAACTAAACAAAAGTTTAGTTCTATCATCAGCCCTGATATTACTCCAGCTCAGAGCGTTCTCGAAGCACTGTTGATCTTCACTTCATCACCAAAATGAAGTTTCAGGAGCTTCTTAGCTCCAGCATAACCCTTCCTATCCATCTATTCCTACCCTTCGCAAGCTCCTTTGACTGGCCAGAAGTGAATTGTTCCAGATACTAAAGTCTGTCCCTACTATTCTCGTTTTTTGTTTTATCCTCATTGATGATACTGATGAACTGTGAAAACTGCGAGACTTGTGACTTTTTGGACACATTCAAAGCACTATTGTTTGGCTCAATAAGTGTTTGTGGATCCTTTCGTACCTTTTTCCACATCTACCATTCACTCATAAATTTCTCAGATGTTGCCATTTTAGGCTCAAACCAGTCAATACGCTAATTTTCCCTGAATTTCATCAGGTAGTTGTTCCTGCAACTTATGAGCAGTCTTAAATTCTCCAAGTGCCATATAAAATGCTTCCACACTTTTATTTATTAATTGATTCTACATCAACACCATCAACAAGCGATGCTTCCATTTCATTCATCCTTCATGTGCACACAGCAAGATTTCCCCTACGTAGAGAACTGAGCGGGGCAATGCTTTGTTCAACATTTTCATCTTCATCAGCCATGCTTGACGCAAACAAAGACAGTCAAGTGTCCAGATAGCCATAGGATCAACAGGCCACAATATGTACATTAGCATTAGCTTCTTGCATCATGCTCATATCTTTGGTCAAAGGCAAAATTCTCAACAGCAGCACTTGAAAATAAATTCACCCATGGTTACTCACAAATTGGATGAATTGCAGAATCCTTTGAAAGCTGTTGATCCACTGAAGGCCTGTTCATTTCAAATGTAGGCCTTGATTGGGCCTACCACATGCCTGCATCCCTCTTCTTGGGAGTTTTTTGATTAAATGCAATGGCTTGCTTTACTCTGTAGCCACTTCAGTGTGGGACACTACAAACCTGTTTGAGCAAGTTTGTATTTATTGGAACAAAAGATAAAGTGGAAACTTAAAGACAAACTGTGATTCAAAGTAAGCAGTGTGGGTCAACTACCAACTGCCACATCACATCCTGTTTAAGATAGCTGCCTACAGGAAATGCCAAAACAGATGCAATTCAATCACTGCAGGAGGAGTACAGAAATATAGTGACATATAGGGTGCTTCTCAAAAAGAAGGCTGCGTCCTCCCTCTTTCAGCCTTTCGGAGGCCTGTAGGCTAGAGTCCTCCTGGATATTAAAGGCTAGAATAAGGCAGTATATGAAAATACTAATAAAACTTCATTTTGGAAAAATTTTAATTGATATTATTTGGCTTTCTATTAATGCAATACAATGAATCACAGCCGTCTACAATCTCCCAGTGGATTACATTAGGCTATTGGCAATTTAGTGTTAACCAAAATGTTCATGTCCGAAAACAATATTTTTGTCTTACACTTCATAATAAATTCAGACAATCTCAGTACTTTCATGAATAGGATTGGGGGTGATTGAAGGTCGCAAAGGATACATCCCATGCATCCTTCAAATTCAGCTGAATTAAGGATGCGAAACGAAGGCTGTGACATTCGATGACGTGGCAGTTGACTTACACAGCCTTAGTAGGATGCAGCCTTTCATTTGAGAAGCACCCATAATGAAAACATTGAGCAACAACATTAATAACCTAATGGCTCCTACACATTTCTTTGTGGCTCTTTGACTACTCTTCTAAAACTACATTCCACACAAGATTACAGCACAAACATGTTGATTTTTTTAATCTTAAGGAGATCAAAAGTCACCAGAAGCCACTGATGTAAACAAAATTTTTAAAAGATTTACAATTAATTGTTATGCAGTTTTTACCTTGCTTCTCTAAATGGCACTTGAGGGCTGAATGGCTAGTTGAATGGCTTTTCTTACTTGCTTTGACAAACGTTTACACTTTTTAATATAAATGTTTACACTTTAATATATTATTTTTTAGTTTCTTTGTTGTTTTTTCATTCAAATGTTATTTAAATTTAGACTGCCATTTTTGAAGCGGCCTTGAAATTTAATTTAAATTCAAATTATGGAATCAACTATTTCCTTGGTGGTATCAGTGGAAATTACAACAAAAGAGCCACACAAAATCTACGCATTTTTTTTATTTTTATTTGAGCACTGTGAGGAATTAGTACAATTATTTTATAATAAACCAGCCAATCCTGTTCAAGTGGACATTTGTTAAATGATCAATTATAATTAAAGTATATACTGTAGCTTGTTTGATATTTATATGCAACAAAGGACGTGAAGTTTCTTTCATACAATCATTAAACAAAAACGTTAAGGACAAAATTTGAAAGGACAAGCGCCTATATTTATATTCTCTGTTTCACATTTCTTTCTGTAATAGTGTTCACCTTGCGTTGTTTGTACAGTTCTTTTATGGACTGCATGACCTCCTCTGTCTTTAGAGTGTATATAATGGGATTCAGCATAGGTGGTATTATTTGCGTCAGGGAATTGTTAATTATCCGGGAGTTTTGATCAATAGATGTTGAGATGGATTTAACATTTACACTTAAAATTGGGAGATAAAAAACTGCCACTAACACAAGATGTGAGGTGCAAGTTTTCATGGCTTTGATGCGATCAGCACCATGAGCAATCTTGAGCAATGCCGCAGCAATGCAACAATATGAGAGGGTTATCACTATCACCGGCAGGCAAATTAGGAGACCAAATAAAATATATGCCATGAGGTAATTTATGGAATTACTGTTACAGGACAGGCTGATGACAGGGCCGTGATCACAGAAATAGCTATCGACCACAGTAGATCTACAAAAAGAGAGTCTGTTGACTAATCCCACAAGTACAGCAAATAAAAGCATGGAAAACATCCACATACTGCCTATAAGGAGTGACATGGATTTTTTGGTAATAATGGCATGATACCGTAGAGGAAAACAAATAGCAACCAGTCTGTCATAAGCCAAAGCGAGTAGCGTCAAAGACTGAACGTTCATAAAATTAAACACAAAAAACATATTCATCAAGCACGCTTCATATGAAATGAGCTGGTGCTCAAATAAAAACATGTCTATGAGTTTTGGAATCAAAGCTGAGCTTCCACACAGATCAGAAAGGGCCAGATTAAAGACTGCAATGTATTTGGCTGTGTGAAGTCTGCGGGCCAAATAAATGGTACACATGATAAATGAATTCCCCAAAAGGGTCACAGCATATACAAAACACAAGAACACATAGTAGTATTTTGCATGTGGGAAATTAGAAAATCCACTGATGAAGAATGTTGCAGGACGCACAAAGGTCACATTTGCAGAGGAGTTTGACTGCACTGAATTCAAGCTGGCCGTTGTCTGGAGTGTTGTGTTACCTGTGATAAAGAACTGTTTTTAGATATGCACACAATAATCTCATGATTTCAGTGTATTTGTCAATATTGCTTGGCACTATGATTCATGGCATACCTCTCAGCCTTCCTAAACAGTTATTCTGAATAAATACAATACAGTGTGTCTAAACATTACAATACAAAGGAATATGGTAAGGACTTTTATATTTAGTTCACATGAAATGTAAACATACAAATAGACTGGCACAAGATTAAAGATCCTGCATTTACAGTTCATGCTTCAAGTAACACAAAGTTTCACATTTAGTAATTCTAAAATTATTTTAAAGAATTCCATACAAAAATCACACAGCTACTATCATTATAACTGGAACACGGTTGGTATTGTAGATAAAAACATGATTCTTTTTTTTGATAAGCCTTTTCCCAGATGCCATAAACTCCTTTGTCATTAAAGTGTAGAGGTTAAGCATCAAAGGAAGCACAGAGGTCAGAGAAAGAATAATTATTGTAGTGCTGGTGCTTAAAAGGACCCAAAAGACATATGTTAGGCAGATGGGCACATAAAATGCATCCACTACTATTAAATGAGCAGTACATGTCTTTGTGGTTCTTTGACGGTCCTGTGGTGTTATGAATGATATTACAGCTATGCATATATATGAAAAGATGATACAAAAAAACTGGAAACATGATGATCACCTGAAACAGAACACTCATGCTGACACAGCTTGGGAAATTTGACCTGCGATCACAGAAATGAATGATTATGACACTAGTTCTGCAAAAAGAAAGTCTGCAGATGATTGCTTGCATTAGTACTAGTGTCCATGAAGCACCAGTTATAACAAGCATTGATCTGTGAGTCACAATCATATGATACCTCAGTGGTAAACAAATGACTACTAATCTGTCAAAAGACAGGATAGTGAGAGTTGAATGCACTGAAACAAATAACATATTGGAGAGCATATCACACGAGCACAATCCATACGGGATCAACTGACTCCCAAACAAAAATGCACCCAGTTGCTGAGGGATTTCAGTGATACTCTCACAAATGTCTGTCAGTGATAAATTAAAGACAGTGATATATTTAGGAGTTTGAAGATTTCGGTCCGTAATGATAACAAACATAAGGCAGGAATTTCCCAGAAAAGAAATAAAGTAAGCAATAAACAGGAATATATAATAGTATCTCATGTGAGGTATACCAGAGAATCCAGCAGACAGGAAGGAAATATTCCTGCTTCCAGTAACCTCTTGAATCATCTTTTTTTCATCCTGTCTGGGCAGAAAAGCAGAATGCAAAAAGGTTGAAATTTTATATAATAATAACAACGTTAATGAATAATTAATAGGATATACTCACAGTAAGGTCTTAGGGAGGTTTGCCCGGCCTGCAGGCTTTCCCTAATGCATTATATACTGAATGAAGGGTTGTCAATCCCTTCAGCCTATCACTGACTGTGACAGTCTCCACCAATGGCACACCTCTATAGAGCTGTCATCTGGCCAATCAAATCACAGCACTGACAATAATGTCAAAGATAGTTAGTGTATCTGTATTTGTCCTGGTTGCACTACCATTATTCTTGGTTCATATCTTGGGCTAAATTTAAACATGATGAATAGGGTGAAAAACGAAAATAATATATAGAATTAATATCACCATACTTCATATGTTGATTGGACATTAAGAATTGCAAAGATCGTTTGTATTACAAGTTTTCTGAAATGTTATATTTAATATGAAAATGAGGTATTATTTAGTTAAATATGCATTAATTTGCATGCATTTCCAGAATAGAAATCTGAATATTCAAAATTACATTTTGTTGACATATTACTGTTAAAGGTTTTCACATTTTTTTTATAGTTTTACTGTCAAAAAATTATTTCACCATGTTTATTTAGGAATAAAACTTGGTGTAACATTAGGCAAATTATATATAAACAAACCCCTTTGTAAAAGCCATCAGAATATACAGATAGGAACTAAGCTGTAAAGTTTGGTGTGTGTAAGATTTCTGGCTCAGTGCATGAGGGAAAAAATCTTTTTGAGAAAAAGGCCTTTAAAGATATGTATTTTAACAGAAATCTACAGACAGAAATAACGTACATTAAAATAAACATCTAGACATGTCTTTTGGATGTTTCTTTTCTCTAGCAAACAGCATGTTATGAAAAGCCCAAAATATCAAAAAGGATCAGTGCATGAAAAAAACAAAAACAAAAAAACAATGTGTTTGCCTGTAATGTCTTGCCTTCAGCACCTAATGAATATGCAGAAGGCAAACAGTATTGTGTGGCTTCAGAATTTACAATAAGTGTCATATGGACTTCTTTTAAGACACTCTTAGTGCTTTTCTCTCCTTTTCTATCTTGTTCTATCTTGGCAGGCCTAGTTACAATGCCTTTGTTGTTATTATGGGTTAGAAATGTCAAAAGTATGACTTAATTGACTTAATGAGTGTAACTACACCATTCAGTGTCTTTCTCCCTTTACAGCCATTAAAAATGTATATTAAAAAAAATATATGTAATATGGTTGCCACATCAATCGACTGGCAAAACATAATTGTATACAGTAAGTCACAATTAAACTCAATCCATCATCCAGCACAACACTTGCTTTTGTATATGTAATATGGTTGCCACATCAATCGACTGGCAAAACATAATTGTATACAGTAAATCACAATTAAACTCAATCCATCATCCAGCACAACACTTGCTTTTGCCACTAGAGGGCATACTAGAATCAGTTTTTCCCCCCTAATCAAACTGCAGTACTTCTTTTATTCTCAGTGTCCTTTTTTAACAGCTTCTGTAGAAGTTCCTGTATATTTGACTTCACATACTATACTATTGCCTCTACTATTGTCACATACTATAGTATTGTCTTTGGCATTGTGGGCCATACTCTGTGTCACAAGTGATTAGTGAAATTACTTCATTAGATACATATATGCATATTTACATGTTGTCATTAGCAAATAACTAATAATTACTCGTCTTCATGTCATTTGTATTGAATGAATGCCTTTTTTCCATTCAAAATTTATTGAAAATTAATTGTGAGGCAAATGTGACTTTTTGTGTTCTACAGCATAGATGAAAAAAGTGCTTTGACACAATATGATGAGTAAATCATTTTTATTATCCTTATGTCCTTATAGATTTACCTAGCCTTATCTCCAAATGACTACAGCCCCATTGACTCCCTCTGCCAATGCATTGATGAAATTAACAGTTATACCAAGGGTTCACACAAAACAACGGGAGTCCTCTTTTAGTTATTATGCTGCCCGCAGTTGGAATCAGCTTCCAGAAGAGATCAGATGTGCTAAAACATTAGTCACATTTAAATGCAGACTCAAAACTCATCTGTTTAGCTGTGCATTTATTGAATGAGCACTGTGCGATGTCCGAACTGATTGCACTATATTTTATGTATAATCGTTTTCTATTCTTAACCGTTTTAAATTCATTTTAAACCTCTTAAATCAATTTTTTTATCATTTTCAAAGTTTTATTGTTGTGATATTTTGTTTTTCTTTTCTTTTATGTAAAGCACTTTGAATTACCATTGTGTATGAAATGTGCTATATAAATAAACTTGCCTTGCCTTGCCTTGCCTTATGTAACCATAATCAAATCAGCATACATGGAAAGCCTTGTTGCACTTCAAAAAAACTTCAAAGAAAATAAAATGAAGTAATTTATTACTTTAGTTTAGTCCATTACTGGCCATTCATTACAATACAATACAACTTTATTACAATGCAAATTGTAATTCGATTACTCATTACTGAGTGACCTCATAAATATTTTGAGTAATTTATTTTTATTACATATGAGAAGATTGTGAGATTATTTTCTACAACATCTGCACACACAGGTATGTCAATTCTGTTAAATGTTGAATGTGGATATGAATTGGATATTCATAGTCAACACACAAGTACAGATTCCTTAATACAGTTCAACAAAATCAATCTTGTTTTTTTAATAACCCTTTGCATTTAACCTTTTTCTCTGTAGTAGCCTAGTGTTCACCTTGTTGCGTTTATACAGTTCTTTTATGGATTGCATGACCTCCTCTGTCTTTAGAGTGTATATGATGGGATTTAGCATAGGTGGTATTGTCTGCGTCAGGGAATTATTAATTATCCGGGCGTTTGGATGGATAAATGTTGCTAAAGCTTTAATATTAATACCTAAAAATGGCAAATAAAAAATTGCCACCAACATGAAATGTGAGGTGCAGGTTTTCATGGCTTTGATCCTGTCAACACCATGAGCAATCTTAAAGGGTTAGTTCACCCAAAAATGAAAATTAGGCTGCGTTTTACTCACCCCCGAGGCATCCTAGATGTATATGACTTTCTTCTTTCAGACGAATCCAGTCGGAGTTATATAAAAAATTGTCTTTGATCTTTCAAGCTGTTTAATGCCACTCAGCTGGTGTTGCATTGCTTCAGTCCAAAAGAACTTAAATAAAAATCGCCCATCCATTCAAAAATTTGTCTCACACGGCTCCGGGGGGTGAACAAAGGCCTTCTGTAGCGAATCGATGCGTTTTTGTAAGAAAAATATCCATATTCAAAACTTAATAATCACTTGAATCTAGCTTGCGCTCACTGTTGTAAATGGAAGCAGTTCTGGGGGGAATGACGTATGAGGTCGGCTTTGCGCATGCG